TCGGAATCGATGGAGAACGAGTGTTTCGAAGAGGCGGCAACTGAACTGTCTCGGGGGTGTTTCGCATAGGGGAAGTTCGTCGCTTCTCAACTTCGACGGTGTCCACCGGTGGCGTGGACGGGATCCTGGTCTGGGTTGCCGCTAGGTTGGCTATCATTTCCTTGATCTCCTGCATCTGGATCTCGAGGTTTGCCATTCGATCCGGTATGTCTTCGGTGGGTGCAGCAGTCCCAGCTGCAGCAGTGGTTTGTCTCGTTGACATTCGTGACGGTTGACAATCATTGTCTTGGGGAATGTTTGAGGTCATTTTCCTCATGTTGGTTCGGGGGTGTATCGGTGTCGATACGAAAGAGTTTGACTTCCGGTAGCTCGTAGCTATCAACACTCTTGTTCACAATTACCTCTGTGCTTGAGGGGGTTCTTAAGGATCTCGTATCCTATTCGGCGCCAACGCGTCGACGACTTTACCAGCTTGCTCTGCAGGATCAAACCCTGATCCACTGGTCGTCCGTGAGTTCTCTGGGGTCACGGCTATTTGAAGTCGTCAGGTCTCAGCTCCGTCGCAGTTTCCGAGTCGCGGTCGGTGGTGTAACGGTAGTTCTCCTGAGTCGTTCCAGTGTGGGATATTCTTTGAGTACGGCCGTCCCCGGCAGGCGTGATCTTTTTTGTATAATGTAAGGACGCAGGGCACCGTATCACGAGAAGTGGCATATGGGAGTGCGAGTCGGATATGAGTCGGTGCAATCCTATAGGTCTACTACGAAGGATACAAAAAAGATGAAGGTGTAACCCTGTATGACTGTTCCCTTAAAATACCCGAAACCGCTCCGACTCAGCTAGCTCCCTGTTTGCCTAAGGCTTCCTTACGTTATGTGCCTAAGGCTGTCAGTCGCGACTGACCCGTAACGGCCCCGAGTCTCGATGACGCCACGTGACGGCCGTAACTACCCCGAGTAAGGAGGCATCCTTACAATCTTAAGTTAAAGACACCAACGCCTCCAAGCTCCCACCCGGGTACTGCTCAACCTTGGGTTTCCCAAACACCAAACAACCCAATTGAAGCCTCATCACAGTCTACCTTCATTAAAAACCGAATTGCGCATCATCAAAATAGCTCTCCAACCTCAATCTATACAGCTGTTGACCAGTTTACAAAGGGTACATCGCAAATAATGCATCAATTAGCATTGTTGAAGGCAGAGAACCAAAACCTGCGACAGGCAAATGAAGTGCTAAGCAAGCGCCGGAGAACTAAAAAAACATTATTACAGCAAGGAGGATCACTTAGTGAACAGGTAGCACAGGAGCTACAGGACGAGAGGGATGTTGTACAGCAAGTGGAGCAAGAAATAAGGGCGAGTAGTGGTCGGAAGCCAAGGGAAGAAACCCATGCACGTCGCTGTGGAAAGTGTGGTGGGACTGGACATAATGCGCGCACTTGTCAGATTGTAATAGACACATCTGAGGAAGAGGACTCCAAGTAGTTTCAATTGATTTCTAGTGTCATGGTGGATTTATCGCAATTCCTGTATTGTGGTCGCGATATTTTGGCCGGTTCACTTGTTTGGCCGGTTCGTTATACATGTACATTATATACTAACATTTATTATATAGTACTCTTTGTTCAAGACATCGAATACAATGCTAAACACTACTGACTACAATATAATGGCATTAGCACAAGCATTCTTATTTCCACATAATGATGCTCTTACTAGTGACAACAACTTGCAAGAAGTATCATAAAAAGAAATAAAAGCATAGAGGAACCACGGCCCATTAGGGAAGCTATATAATATTGTAGTATTTATACAACAGTCACCTTAACGGCAAGCTACTTTTAAGAAGTATAGTGATGGCAGAAGGCTTGTTCAGGATAACAAGACTTGGTGGAACTCATGGTATTCAATGCTTCATTGTGCTCTTGACAATAAGATCAAGAGCACTATTGATATGTACTGTCATAAAGAGTATTTTGAGCTTTCTTAAGATGAATTGCTTGAGAGTGACTAGATAGTACTACAGCATATCCACAGCTTCCTTTATTCTTTTATGAAGCGACATTGTTCACAGAAGGCTAGGAAGCAACATTAGAACAGGTATTGTTATCTATGGAGTTCCTTCTTAAGCAATTAGAAAAGGCGAAATAGATGTTCAAGGATGATTTAATGCTTAGCCTATGTTTTAACTCTACATAGGAGGTTATGAATAAGTATTATGCACTTACTAAGCGGTAAATAATAGTGCCTTCCATTTTAATATAGTACTATAGTACTAACATCTATAGGGCTTCTGCATATATTGCAGCTAGAGTCTTTATTGCAAGCCAAAAATGGAAGTATTGTGAAGATAACTAGCCTACAGATTGGGTATTAAAGGCAAAAGCAGCCGTTCAATTGCTATGGGATGAGCATTATAAGCCAACAATCGAGCCATTAATTATATCAGCTATCCAACCACAAAGTAAGAAGAATATTTTTAGGGAGTGGGTCACGCAAAAACCCCACCAACCTCCAATTCAAGATGAGTATATGAAGTATTGCTAAGTAGCAATTACCCTAGAGTTTAACGCTTAGGATTGGTATTGGTAGATGGAAGGAGCTTTGCGGACAGCATATCCAAATCTTCAAAAGATGGCACTCAACATGTCATCAATACCTGCAATGAGTGCTGAGCCTAAACGTCTATTCTCAGGGGCAAAGATTACAATCACAGATCGAAGGAATCGATTAGGAGTTGATACTATTGAGTATTTAGAGTGTTTGAAGTCGTGGCTTCATATTACGAACATTCCATGGAGCGACGAGTTGTACTGTCATTTTAATATAGTACAATAACATGCGATATTATATATGGAAATAATCACATGATTTATATTGTTTTTCTTCAATAACGTACATGTATAGCGAAAGCGCCAAACAAGCGAAAGCGCCAAAATTATCTACCCTCACGACAAACATTGCGATAAATCTACCACAACATTAGAAATCAATTGAAACTACTCGGAGTCCTCTTCCTCAGAGGTGTCTATTACAATCTGACACGTGCGCGCATTGTGCCCAGTCTCACCACACTTGCCACAGCGACGGGCACGGGTTTCTTCCCTTGGCTTCCGACCACGGCTTGCCCTTATTTCCTGCTCTACCTGCTGCACAACATCCCTCTCATCCTGTAGCTCTTGCGCCCCTTGTTGACTAAGTGATCCTCCTTGCTGTAGTCGTGTTTTCCTAGCTCTCCGGCGCTTGCTTAGTACTTCATTTGCCTGTCGTAGGTTTTGGTTCTCTGCCTTTAGCAGTGCTAATTGATGCATTATTTGCGATGCACCCTTTGTAAACTGGTCAACAGCTGCATAGATTGAGGTTGGAGAGCTATTTTGATGGCGTGAAATCCGAGTTTTAATAAATGTAGACTGTGACATAGCTTCAATTGGGTTGTTTGGTGTCTGAGAAACCCAAGGTTGAGCAGTACCTGGGCGGGAGCTTGGAGGCGTTGGTGTCCTTAACTTAAGATCAAGTGTAGATATCACTCTCTCAGGGTCAAATGGAAGAAGCCCTGCCCCTGGGAACCCGCCTCGAATGTTACTTTCCGTCATTGTAGTGTTAAATGCAGCGTGGAAGGCAGGAAAGAAGTCATCCTTTGTAATATGAGAAATATGAGCCTGCATCATATCTTCAATTTGCCGACCATAGGCCTGCTTTAACGGGCCGAAACAGCCAACATCAAGTGGCTGGAGTAGATGAGAAGAGTGAGCAGGCATACAAAGCGTAATAATGTTGTGTTCCTTGCAGTACTCCTCAAACTCATCTGAGTGGTGGCTCTCATGACCATCAAGGACTAACAAGCGATAACCACCAACACTCCGGGCCTTTGTATGCTTCTCAAAGTGCTGAATCCAATCCATGCCTCTCTCGTTTGTAGTCCAGCCATTTTCAGTAACAGAAATCACCCAATCGCTTGAAAATCCACTATTCTCATACCAAGATGTAAGGTGGTTTTTGCCTGCAACAATGATAAATGGTGGTACTGCCCAACCTTGAGAACTAACGCCTTGGATTACTGTAACCCATTCCCGATTACCAGGCTGTACCTTCTTTGCTTTTGCCCGCCCGTCTGAGCTTGTTACAACCATAGCAGTTGAGATAACGCCCATCATAAACCCAGTCTCATCAAAGTTGTAGATATCTGCTTCATCGATACCATATTTCGCAATTGTGTTACGCACAAGCTCAAACCAGCCATTAATAACTTCTGGATCTTCGCACTTAGCCCTCTGGTAGTCGTATTTGCGCTGAAAGCGTGTCCAGAGCTCTACACGCCGCTTAACAAAGTTTGAAGCCCAACGCGACCCAACGCGTGACGCGTCGCGTGTTGCAAGTAGTCGACTTGCCATATCTTCAACAACAGACAGCCGAGGAGGAAACCCTTTGGCAGCTAGGTCGAGTATATACTGAACAAGGACGGACCCCTCTAGGTTAGTTAATTTCCGTGAGTTGGCTTGGATATCGCGTCGTGAAGGTACACCTTCTAGACGACGACCTAGCTTGCGGTGGTCCACAGAATAGATCCTAGCAGCAACTCGAAGGCGTAACTTTGGGTCGCTTTGCATAGCCTGGATAGCTAGCACTAATTGGCTTTCATCGTTTTTATGGGGCATGTTTTGTTGTTGAGGAATTTAACATTTAGTTGGGGGGTTTGGTCACCGCATCATTTTGGCGCTTTCGCTTGTTTGGCGCTTTCGCTATACATGTACGTTATATGACTGCAATATATTATATTGCCAAGCTTTATTAGCGTTATAATTGTAATACAACATGCACTATTGGGATCACCGTGATCCGATTGCTCACCGTCGTACCAAGCACATAGAAGTGCGGTACCATTACATTCGACAGCTCATTGCTGCAAGAAAAGCGACGGTATCGTACATACCGACGTAGGAAATGCTTGCGGACGTTTTGACAAAGCCGCTCCGCTCGCAGTTTTGAGAAGATGCATTAGGGGTTACCTAATGCCGCCACGGCCAAATAAACCATGATCTCTAATCCCCTTAGCAAGCAAAGGAAAGGCAGTGTGTAGGCTAGATCAGAGTCCAAATTGTTGAGCACAAATTTGGAGTTTAACGACTTAATTAAGTAAACTACGGGTGCGAAGCCATATATATACCGCCGTATACAGACTACACTGTGTAGCGTACTTCTAGGAACGTAGTTCCAACATTATCAACAGCTGAATTTAGATTGCGCTGCGTAAGGAAGGTACAGGTCAGTGAGCAGAATACAGAGAGATAAAATCCATGGGTATGTTGTTACATAAACGACCATTGAACTCTGGAACGACGAAACTCCGTAGATATCCATGACAAGCACACGGCCAAACAAGAGCGTTGAAATGACAATAATGGACTCGCCTCGTATTGTGGACTAAGCCTCAATGTCTGCGGTGGTTTAGAGAAGCATCGTAATGATCAGCTGCCTTTAACACCTCTTCCTCGGTGGGAATAGGCCCAGTCCACCCCTCTCCTAAGCTCGCCACCTCGAACGCGCTGGACTTCTTGTTCAGCTCCTTTGTAATAGCCTCAACATCGACGTCCAAATACTCCCTCAGGAACTTCCCGACACCTGTGTTTTCATGGTTGCCGATTAGCTTCTCAGAGCCCTTCGACCCATAAATATTCACATCCACACCCGAGTGGCCGTGGGTGCTCCAGCCAATCTGCGCCCTCTTGCTGATCATATTGGCAAATAGAGGAGAGGCCACCAGTGGTTTATCCAGAATGGCGCGGATTTCATCGTCTTCAGCATCGGTAATACCAAGTCCGTCTTTCACAAGGGTGTTGCGAACATATTTCTCGATATCCTCCGATGTAGATTGAGCTGCCTCAGCGCGATCGAAGAGTTCAAAACCGAGATACTCAGCAGAGTGGGTGGCCTTGGAGAGCACCTCTGGGTACCAGAGGTATTGTGGATAGGTTGGGTTATTTTCTGTGAGGCGTTAGGTATGCTTGATGGACATTGCAGAGTTGACTTACGCCTGGCGATGGACAAGCCGCCGGTTTCGTGATCGCTAGTGCCGACAACAACTCCTTCATCCTTGCTCTTGGCGAGGAATTTCAGGACGCTACCGAAGGCCTTGTCATAGGCAAGAACCTCGTGGACCTGCGCTGCTGGGTCATTACCGTGACCAGCATGATCAATCCGGCTTCCTTCGATCAAGAGAAAGAATCCCTTGTCGCTGTCCTTGGTGGCTGCCTCCAGGGCAGTGAGAGCGGTTCTAGCCATTTCATCCAATGACGGGTAAACATCATTCTGATTTCGACGATCGATCTCATATGGAATGTCAGACCCAGCGAACAACCCTAGCAGCGGCAGCTTCACGTCCTTTCCAAACTTCAGCTTATCAAATCCTGCCCTATCATTGATGTAGTTCCATCCGTATTTCTCTTGAGCTAGCTTGGTGATGTCTCTGGTGTCTTTTCTGCAGCTCCCGTCTGTCGTGTTGGGCAGGAAGTGGCAGCGGCCACCGCCGAGCATCAAGTCCACAACTCTGCCAAGCGGGTGTTCTCCAACTTCTTGTGCGGCGATGCTGTCCCCCTCCGAACGCAAGTTCACATGGGAAGCGAAGCAAGCAGGTGTCGCATCCGTGAGGTCCGTCGTAACCACCAGTCCCGTCAGGTATCCCGCCTTCTTTGCTGCTTCTAACACGGTTCCACACGCCGTGTGGTCTGGTAAAACTGAAATGGCTCCATTGTAGTTCTTGAGTCCGCAGGAGAATGCTGTCGCGCCGGCTGCCGAGTCTGTAACCAAGCTGCTGCTGGACCTGGTGCGTGACTGCCCTATGAGATGCTGGTCCAGTTGTAATATATCATCGATAGCCAGTTTTCCTTCGTATTGCCTAAAGCTTCGTGTCAGGGAAAGACTTGCAGGTCCCATGCCGTCGGAAACCATGAAGACGAGGTTGCGCTTCCCACTCGGTTTGTTCCCGACATCGCCAGGAGTTGTCTCTCGTCGGTGCTGGGTAAGGACTCCAAGGATTATGACGGCAGCTGTAGCTGTAACTGCCCATATGAATAAGCCAACTTCTCTCCAGAAAATAGGACGGCGTTGAGGTTGAGCTTCTCGAGCACGAGTGCCGGTCAGCAGTGTATCCTCTTCGGATGCCGACATCTCAAACGAATGCTCCGAGGGTGGTCGATCTGGTGCAAGTAATGGTTTACTCGGGGACGACATTGCGCCCGGAGAACACAGAAATGAATGAAATAGTGCGGTCGTAGCCGAACAATTTGCTCGACGGAGCTTGTAATAGTCGAATGGGGAAGATGGTCGTGATTTTACAGTCCAGGTCCATCTTATTGGTATCACTTACGGGATCTAATGTGACTGGTAATTTACAATTGGGCGCCACGCTCTAATCTTACATGTCTGACTGGCTCTGTAAGTTACGTTACTACTACACATCACGCGCCAAGATACCCCAAGGAATACAGCCCAGAGGCTCCGCACATGACAAGGTCTAATTCACAAATGGAACATAATCTTTGGCGTAAGTGTCATGGTCGTGAATTGTTCTGAATTAGGAACGAAGAAAGCTTTGTGCTAAATACAGCAACCCCATGCTGATTCATGCCGCCCTGCCCAGATATTGCACCCCATAACAAAGACAGCCCAATCCACACACTTAACGAGCCTTCTGGGACTCCTTAAGGACCTTCTTGACAATCTTCTGCTCCTCGATCAGGAAAGCACGGACGATGCGGTCACGGACGCAGTTGGCGCAGCGCGATCCACCATATGCACGCTGGACGGTCTTCTTTGGGCGGGAGATTTGAGCATACTCGCGAGGGCGGAGAGCTGGGACCTGTGAGACAAAATGTCAGTTATTGTTCAGTGCAAGCCTTGTATTTGTTTTCCAGGTCCGAATGTTATGCCACAATGCAAGTCGAAACTGGTGTAGCTAATTCCCTTCCTGTTCATATTCCACCCTTCAACAGGCCTATTGCGCATTTCCAACGTTGTGGTAGTCTGTCTGATTGTGCGCTGCGATGACACGAGTGTCTGTCCGTCGAGTTGTTTTCTGATTCGGAGTATTTTGCACCCCACCACCCTTCCCTCTCAAAGCCCCTCCAAGTTTTCCTATCCACCCATTCCGACTCTGAACCGGTTCCTGGAAGACAAATATTGAGATGGTTTACTTACACCTGGGAGCTTGATGCCGCAGTCACCGCACTTGGGTGCGGTGCCCTTCTTCTTGAGGTGGAGGTAACGGAGCTTGCCACCTGGAGTCCTGATAACGCGGACCTTGTTGGAGGTCGTGTTGTACCTGTTATTGAAGTATCAGCAAATGCCCATATGCCGCATTCTTCGCGCCGATCGTTGTCGTATCGTATGGCGACAGCGCGACGATGATATGGATTCGGGTGGGCTTACGGGTTCCTCCGTCTCTGTAGCAAGCAATTGTTAGTATTTTGAACTCGAAATATGGCGAAATGACGGGCAACGTACGTATGTCAATCTGTTGGACGGCATTGTGACTTCGTGATGTCTCGATTGTCGGGAAGTCGTGGGTATGGTTTTGTCGACGATTAGAGATCGCAAGATTTCTCTCACTCTGGTAAATTTGGGGTTGTGCGGGCTAAGAGTTCGCTTAATTTTATTAGTGCGATGAATGGAGCCCGCGCATGGTCACATGATGTCGTTCCTAAATTATACTAGCGTCAATTATACCTGGCTCGGAAAAATAATGATGTTGACCTGACAAGAGTCGACGAGGCAAAGCTATCGACAGCTCCTGTTCAACTCCTCCAATTTGCATCGGAGCGAGAACCAAAAGATACTCGAAATCTGTCGCATAATTGTTTTCCTTTGCGCATTCTGTGATCGCGCTTTTCTTTCATTTGCCGTCGCGTTCGGCGCGTCTCGAGGGGTGCAGGAAACGCATGAATACTGCAACCTGGAAGTATTCGACTGATCCACGGCATCCACAACTTCAACGACTCCACCACATACAGTTATTATAGATCCGATTTCACGATGTCGTCCTTCCCCCCCCCCCACCGCCCGGATGGAGCTCCTCTGCCCAGCCAGCTCAGCCTTTGGGCGCACCACCTGGCGCACCCCCCCCCCCAGGATACCGACCACCTCAAGATCCCCATGTCGCCAAATTTGCTCAAAAGAAGAAAGATTGGGTACGGTCACAAAAGAATCGATTTGGGGAGAAGCGCAAAGGTGGCTTCGTAGAGACACAAAAGGCCGATATGCCACCTGAACACTTACGAAAGATCGTCAAGGACATTGGAGATGTTTCGCAAAAGAAATTCAGCAGCGACAAGCGTAGTTACCTGGGAGCATTGAAATATATGCCGCATGCAGTTATGAAGTTGTTGGAGAACATGCCGATGCCTTGGGAGTCCGCACGAGAAGTCAAGGTTCTATACCACGTCAACGGCTGTTTGACTCTTGTGAACGAGATACCACGAGTTATCGAACCCGTATTTCATGCACAGTGGGCCTCGATGTGGGTTTGCATGAGAAGGGAGAAGAGCGATCGACGCCACTTTAAGAGAATGCGATTTCCGCCCTTCGATGATGAGGAGCCGCCTCTCTCCTGGTCTGAGAATATCGAGGACGTTGAGCCGTTGGAGCCTATCCAGATGGAGTTGGACGAAAACGAAGATGCGGCTGTTTACGAATGGTTTTACGAGAATCGTCCGTTACTTGACACACCTCATGTCAACGGCCCAAGCTACAAGGAGTGGAATTTGACGTTACCCCAGATGGCAACATTGTACCGACTGAGCCACCAACTCTTGAGTGATTTGGTTGATAAGAACTACTTCAACATGTTCGAACTCAAGTCTTTCCTCACCGCAAAGGCTCTCAATGTCGCCATTCCGGGTGGCCCAAGATTTGAACCTCTGTACAAGGATGTCGATCCAAATGACGAAGATTTCGGCGAGTTTAATGCCATTGACCGAATCATATTCCGAGCACCTATCCGCACGGAATACCGCGTCGAGTTTCCCTTCCTGTACAATTCATTACCACGAAGCGTTCATATAAGCAACTACTCTTACCCACAAATTGTATATGTGCGGGCGGAAGATCCGAGTTTGCCAGCATTTTATTTCGACCCCGTCATCAATCCAATCTCGTCTAGATCAGTAGCGCCAAAGAACATCACCGTTAGCCACGAAGACGAGCTATTTGGATATGGCAATAATGAGGAGCCGGAGGAGGACGTATTCGTACTTTCGCAAGAAGCTGAGCCGTTTTTTGCGGATGAGGAGCTGTATACTAGTGAGACAGCATCGGCGATTGCGCTCTGGTGGGCCCCCTATCCCTTTGATAGAAGGTCAGGCCGAATGGTTCGGGCACAAGATGTGCCCCTTGTCAAACAGTGGTATCTTGAGCATTGCCCCCAAGGCCAGCCGGTTAAGGTCCGCGTGTCATACCAGAAGCTACTGAAGACCTACGTCTTGAACGAACTACACAAGAAGAAGCCCAAAGCCCAAAACAAGCAAAATCTTATGAAATCGCTGAAGCAGACCAAATTCTTTCAACAGACCACGATCGACTGGGTCGAAGCAGGCCTTCAAGTTTGTCGCCAAGGCTTCAACATGCTGAATCTCCTGATACACAGAAAGAACCTCACGTACCTTCATCTCGATTACAATTTTAATTTGAAGCCCGTCAAGACGCTGACCACCAAGGAGCGAAAGAAGTCGCGCTTCGGAAATGCTTTCCACTTGATGAGAGAAATTTTGAGACTCACCAAGCTTATTGTTGATGCCCAAGTCCAATATCGACTGGGAAACATAGACGCCTTCCAACTTGCGGATGGAATTCTGTATGCTTTCAACCACGTGGGCCAGTTGACCGGCATGTACCGATATAAGTACAAGCTTATGCATCAAATCCGTTCTTGCAAGGATTTAAAACATCTCATTTACTACCGATTTAACTCTGGCCCAGTTGGCAAAGGCCCTGGCTGTGGTTTCTGGGCGCCTGCTTGGAGAGTATGGCTCTTTTTCATGCGTGGAATTATCCCACTCCTAGAAAGGTGGCTTGGGAATTTGCTTTCTCGTCAATTCGAAGGGAGGCACAGCAAGGGAGTTGCCAAGACCGTCACAAAGCAACGTGTAGAGTCTCACTTTGATCTCGAACTTCGTGCATCAGTTATGGCGGATCTAATGGACATGATGCCCGAGGGAATTAAGCAAAACAAGGTTAACACGGTTTTGCAGCATTTGTCCGAGGCTTGGAGATGTTGGAAGAGTAACATTCCCTGGAAGGTGCCAGGCCTACCTGCACCAATTGAGAACATTATTCTGCGCTATGTTAAAAGCAAAGCAGATTGGTGGATTTCTGTGGCACATTACAATCGCGAACGTATTCGCAGAGGCGCAACGGTTGACAAAACAGTCGCGAAGAAGAACTTGGGTAGATTGACTCGCCTTTGGCTTAAGGCAGAACAAGAGAGGCAACACAACTATATGAAGGATGGGCCTTATGTTTCCTCAGAGGAAGCTGTCGCCATTTACACGACAACTGTGCACTGGCTGGAGTCCCGAAAGTTCTCACCTATCCCATTCCCCAGTGTCTCATACAAGCATGATACCAAAATCCTCATCCTTGCCCTCGAACGCCTACGGGAAGCTTATTCCGTCAAGGGCCGGCTGAACCAGAGCCAGCGCGAAGAGCTTGCCTTAATCGAGCAAGCATATGACAGCCCTGGAACCACACTTGAGAGAATTAAACGTTTCTTACTCACTCAAAGAGCATTTAAGGAAGTTGGAATTGATATGAACGACAATTACAGCACTATCAATCCAGTCTACGATATTGAGCCGGTCGAGAAAATCAGCGATGCATACCTTGACCAATATCTGTGGTATCAAGCTGACCAGCGTCATTTGTTCCCGGCTTGGATCAAGCCTTCTGACTCCGAAGTCCCACCCCTTTTGACCTACAAATGGGCGCAAGGTATCAACAACCTTGATAAAGTCTGGGAGACCGAGAATGGAGAATGCGATGTAATGATGGAAACTCAGTTGTCTAAAGTGTATGAGAAAATTGACTTGACGCTTCTCAACCGACTTCTTCGCCTCATTATGGACCACAATCTAGCAGATTACATCACGTCGAAGAACAACGTCCAACTGACTTACAAGGACATGAACCATGTTAACAGTTATGGCATGGTCCGCGGCCTGCAATTTTCAGCATTTGTTTTCCAATATTATGGCCTTGTATTGGATCTGCTCCTGCTGGGTCTGCAGCGTGCCAGCGAGATTGCTGGTCCCCCCCAAAGCCCCAACGATTTCTTGCAATTCAGAGACCGAGAGACCGAGACCAGGCATCCT